AACAAAATCACCAAGCCCATCTTTAGCACGCCTGCAGCAGTAGCCCAACAAAAGGGACAAGATCAGATCAGGATCGTTTGTTTTTCTTGCGTGCGATGCCTATCGATGAGGTCTAGCCGTCTAGGGCAGTTCTTGACGAGCGCCAACCCTAAAAAAATGTTCTTGACCAGCGGCGTTTCAATCTGAGCCTGAGCCGACGATCCTTGCGCGCAATAGGGCGTGTGTGTGCTGATGAGGGCCGAGGGCCATCCTTGCATGGACGCGCGGCCGGCCGCGACCACATTGAGAAGCGGCGAGCAAGGAAAAGGGGGTTAAGGTTAGTCTCGTTAGTTACTCTATATCAGATTAATCCATGCCTTTAGAACCTCACAATTCAAACTGTGGTTACTATATAAGAATGAAATATTAATTAGGGAATATATCCCTTTACCGGTTTACCAATAGGACATGGTTTTGCATTGTTTATCACATCATGTACTGAAAGATTTAGGTTAATTAACACATGAGTTGATTTTGCATTCTTTATGATAAATTTTGAGAAAAAATTTGAAATTGATCACAGAAGACACATGTTTTGATGAAGATTTAGGCTGTCTCTCTCACAAAAAAAAACGTAGACTGTCTCCGTATGTTTCTTTACGAGTCTCTTCATTAGAGGCAAAATTGTGCCCGCCCCCACTATGTTTGAATCCTGGCTCCGTCCCTGCCTAGCTCTTCTAGATTTGAATCACCTAAAATACCTGAGGGTTATGTTATGGATTTGAGATAGCTAGAGACTTTCTTGCTTGCAAAGATAGATATTATTTTAAGAAATTATTAATGATTTTAATAAAGGTAGCGATGAAAGCCTTTCACTCAAAAAATTCCAGTGAAGCGTTTGATCTAGCTCGGCATTCTGTACCTTCCTCTGACAGGGTGTCCCCACGTGCTGCGATGTAGGGACACTCTGTCAGTAAGCCCAGTCGCGTGTGAGCGGAACAGAAACCCGCGCCCCGCATCCGAGTTCTCTCCCCTTCCTTCCTTCGGGCCGCGATGCGCCCTGAGCTCGAGGTGGAGATCGTCAGCGACGAGGAGATGGCCATCATAGAGGCCGCGCTCGCCGCCGCCGCCGCAGCGCGGCCCCTCCTCTCCTCCGCCGCCGTCCGCGGCGCCGCCACCCTCTCCTGCGCGGCCTTCCCGCCCGCCGGCGACATCGAGGACTCCGCGCCGCCGCCGCGGAGGTCGCTGCTGTCCCGGTTCCGGGAGCGCCGGGCCCTCTCCGTCACCGACATCACCGCCACGGTGAGCCTCCCTCGACTCTTCGCCACAAATGTGCCGTGCCGCCATTCGTGTCTGGTGCATACCCATTGACTGATTCCCCTCCCCTCATTCATTTCGTGGGCTTGTTCTTGTGTGACAGGAGTGGTGCGACAAGCAGATGGAGTTCGTGCTGGAGCACGGCAAGCCGGAGAGGACCGAGGCCATGAAGGCCGGCTCTGACCGCCACGCCCAGCTCGAGCAAGAGGTCAGCTCTGCTGTTTTTCTGTCATTTCAAGAGATTGCTCCTGTCTTGGAAACTAGAATGAGACACAACACTGAATGATAATGCCAGTTTCCATGGGTAGCAATACAGTATTCTTTGTGTTTTCAGCATGACATTGGCAGTGCTTTTACTGACAAATCACTCCAGCTTAAGAATGCAGGGATTTTATCAACAAATCACTCCAGGTTATAGAATAAGACTGATTTGATCTTGTCATTGGGCATTGAGTTACGCTCGACTTGTCCTAAGAATCATATTTTCCACATATTTAGGATATTCTTCATGATAGATAACATGACTCGTGGATACTGAATCAACTAATGTGTTTCTTGGCTTCTTACAAAACTTGATATGCGATGGCATAAGTCTTCACCACTGCACACTGCTAGTCATATCCTAATTGTATGCATATCCTAATCAAAGCTTGCATAAATATTAGTAATATCTCAAGGGGAGGTTGGAGAATGAAATTGATTTAAATCTTGAAAAGACGCAAAAAAGAAATAGACTCATTTATTTCATTTTGGAACAGGTTATTGAGAGAGTCGATATTGCCGTTAGATCTGCAGAAGAATCGTGGGCAGTCAAATTCATGAACTTTATCATTGGATCAAACCAATTATTGTTCAACGGCATGACACGTGAACTTCCAGTGTATGTGATAATATGTTTTAAACTTGCAGCTGTAGACCAATATGTTTTGTACCAATGAAAATGCTTTGGTGTAATATTGGTTTCTGGGAGGCAGTCTGGAATGGATAGAATGAAGCTTTTTAGCTACAGGAGCAATCTTTCTTGTTAATTTTGTTGTAAATGATGTCCCATTGTCCCTGCAGGATTGGGGTTGTTGAAGGTTCATGGATGGTAGGAATTATTGATGAACTCCGAATGCCTATGGATGGAATTTCTTTTCATCCAGTTCTAGTGGATACAAAGACACGTTTCAAAGCAACAATTCCCTCGGAAGCACAGAAAAGAAATGGAAGGTTTGCCCTTTATTATTGCTTTACTAACCATTAAAAATGGGGAAACTGGCAAATCATGGCATGCTGTGCTGTGGCATTGGCAAGTGAAGTAACAAGCCAGGTTTAGATTTATGCTCCGCTAGACTAGCGATTTCCTCCAAGTTAACTTCCGCCTTGGTCTGAAATTGTGTGATGTTGGGTTACTACTACACTGGTCTATTGAGACTGCCCCTTGATTAATCGTAACCCTCTTTAGATAGGAAAATGATGAATTGCTGCAAGACAGTACCTAGATATGTGGAGCTACCTAAGGATCAATTTATGGTATCTCCTTCCAGGGAAACTACTCCAGGATTTATCTTTCAGTTATATAGTAGACTTATACTTATATTTCATCGAGTTGTATTAAGAAAATGCAGTCATTAGGATAATCTGTCCCACATGCATTCCTTGTGTATTGCCTCGTTTAAAAGATGCATCTTATGCTACTAATATGAAACTATTGCTGAAATTGGTGAGCACTAGTGTTTGGAAAAAAAAATCCAGATTTATTATTATGTGGAGCTTCCTACAACTTGTTTTACTTTTTCATGCACTATGATGATAGCAAGCTAACAGCTGCGAAAGTTGTATGATATATGTTAATATTTGTCACAGGCTTCAGCTGATGTGTTATAAGTACCTATGGGACAATTCAATTTCTGAGAAATTCCCAACAGAGAATTTCTTCAGCTATTTTGACTTGAACCCCAACTTCTTGTTATCAGATGACGTCAAGCGGTACATTAGCTCAATTGGTTTCAATGCACAGGTTCTGTATCTCAACTTTAAACTTTCATTTCTGTTGCTGTTGAAACATTTTTAGAGATTTGAATAACCAGTTGTTTTTGGAAAGTGATTTCATTTCATTTTCTTAGTATACTGAACAAGTGGTTGCTCGAGTGTAGAGTCACTGTTTCTGTCTGCCATTGTGGTTATTCATGCCAATGTGTGGAACTTATGTTCTAGTGTCTTCCTGAGTTGTGACAACGTTTCTGTCTGCAGACTTTCGGGGATGTATTGAAATACTACAAGATTACGTGTCATACACTGTCACAATCTCAAGAACAGCTGATCTTGAGGTAAATAAGGTGCAGCCTGAACATTACTGACCTGTAGTGATTACTGAACACCTAGTATCTGAAAAGGGGTTCACTGTTAATACCGCCAGTTTGTTTGAATGTCTTGGCAAATGAAAAACTTATAACCTACTTCCGTTTCCTATATATTGCAGATATGAACTGCAGGAAGATCATTCCCTGCTAGAAGAATACCAGTTCTCTTATGATGCTCAGTGGTTCAAGGATCAAATCCAAGAAGCCTTTAACTTCTGGCGGGGGGCACGAGAACCTAAATATGTGACTGAAGAGGAGGGTTGGAAATGTAAATTCTGCAAATTCGCACCGAGTTGCCCGAAGATGCCTTCCACCTCAAGGTGTTGACGTTCAAGGTTGCAAATGGACTTCTCTCTTTTGGGTCAGTAGAGCTTAGGGAATTTTTTCTGACATTAGGCTGAGGAACCAACCAATTTGATAAACCATAACACTGGAAGTGGCTTCATCTGTTCTTTTCTTCTTTCCATGGCCAAAATTAAGTTCGAAGTAGAATTTCACCATATGTGGCATTGTAACGTGGATGTTGCTGATTGGCAAGTGAATATCATTCATGTTGTTTGTATCCCAATGAAGAAATTCACCTCCTGGAGGCTTTTTTATGTAGTGAGTTGCTTGGCACCAACCATCTCAAGTGGTGTGGTGGCTATAGCACTGAATAATTCTCTAATAATATGTGTAATATCTTCGTCCTGATCAGTCATCATTTGTTAATTTATATCAGGTGTGAACCCTATTATCTTTTTTCATGTCTTACTTTCAGCCAGGGAGGTGTAAACTTTCTTTAGGCACTGACAATTTATTTATTTGTTGGATTTCATGTGTAGTAATTGGGATGTCTTTGTAATAGGCATGGGATTACTCGAATGACAAGTATTCTTGGCTGTATCAGATTTCCACATAATTAGATATTTCATATATCAAAATCTGCCAATAGCTGGAGTAAGATACAATAAACAAAATGCATAAAAATATGTAAAATGTACATAAAATAAATTGGTATTTTGGGCGTGGTACCAGAGTTTGGATGCCAACTATGATGGGCCACCTTTCTCTCATAGATTTTGCTTAGTATTACCTCTGTTCCGAAATATATGTCGCTGGGGAGTTCAGTTTACACTCCCCCAACGACTTATATTTAGGAACGGAGGGAGTACATTCTTTGTGATGTAAAGTTATATAACAACCTTTGATGAAAAAAGGCTATGGTATAACTTTTCCATTTTGAGAAAAGGTATATGAAAAGAGCTGGCTGCATTACGAATATAAGATCTCTTGAAAGCGTACAACTCATATGAAGCTAGCCTGCGGCCAGCTGAGGTTATAATTGGCAGAAAGACCAATTAAAATCTGAGATGGGAAATAATGGCCATGGTTATTGATGCATGCCACTGTATTTTGTGTCCATGTGGTGGTGTATCAATGCTACCGAGAAGGATTTGGCCACAACAGAAGCATGTACTAGAAATGGTTTGACTTAAAGAGACCAAAAGTGGATGGCTAATTCGAAGCGAGACTGCGAGAGTTAATTATGTCAGCATAACAATATGTATGAGAAATATAAGTCAAAATGTAAAACTTACATGTCTTTTCAAGTTTTATGTTTTCCATCTGCATGCCACTCTCATATCATTCATCACTAATCATTATGATGGCTTTTAGTATATTCTGACTGGAATTGAACAAACATATTTTTCCGAAATCGACTGGCCCTTCTCTCCACCTTTATTCTGGCGCTTCGGTCATATATGTGTTCTGTTACAGTACTGCTATATTTTAACATTAAATGGCCATTTTATATTTTGGAAAATAGATGTCACTCATCAGGTGAAGTGGCGCAGGCTCATGTATGGGTGAGGCCTGAGGAGCATGGCCGAAAATCCTGCAGTTTTTCTTGCCAAATGCTCAGTGCACTCCGCTCCATGTGTTGGTTACCAACTTCTACGCTATAGTATTATAGTAGTTCCATTTCCCTTTTTAGATAAAAGGCATTTGCACAGATGTATTCAAAGCTGAAGGCTGGGTACAAGGTTTAACTGGTTACAGTAGTAGTTTAACTGTAACTGCATTTTTTTTCAGAAGTAAAAATAAAACGTGCATGTGAAATAGCTTATGTTCCAGCAAAATTGAGCTTGCATTTGCACACACACTCCTGGTGTCAGTAGCCATTTGCCTATTTGATAAGTATAACTAAACTGGAAACATTCTGGCAGGCAAAGTTGCTATCTGATACAGTATATAACAAAACAGAAAACATTCTGCCAGGCTTAGTAGCTGTAGCCTGCAGGACAAGCTATCAAGATGACTGAAGGAACAAGAGCTTGACAATAACCACGCAAAGAAATGGAAGCATGCTGGCTGACCAACTTAGAACCCGACCCTTAACATGACACCAAAGGTAAGACGACCCATATCAAACATATATAGGACAAAAACTCCAAATGATAACCGACACCGAAAGACGAACTGAACTTTCCATGCTTCAACGCCTTGCCAGAGATTCAAACTTCCGCATCAGCACCTCCTACTTCACTTGAGCTTGCTTCGCCCACAACACCAGCCACCGCTAGATGAAGCAACAGTTTTGAAGAGCACGTCAGTAACTCAGTGCGATGAGCAGTCTTGGGAAAAAGTTAGCATATGCAGTTATGCACATAGAAGCCTTATTCAAAGGGTTTTACCTGGTGGATTGTTGAAGCTCGTGTAGAGAAAGAGGTTCTCAAATACTCGGTCCAATCCGAACTCATTCTTGCAAATCTTATCCGACAGCTTTCTCAACTTCAGGGACTTGGGATCAATTGCGAATGAACCAAGATCTGTGATGGCAAGGATGGTATCCGTGCCCTCCACACAGCCAACCAACTTCAATGATTTCGAGCTCCTGGGATCGCCAATTGGGACAAGTGTCTTTGTCAGCATCCTCCCCTATCCTATCACATGGGCTGGACCTATCCTATTACATGGGCCGGATTATGAGCAGCTCCTGGGCTTGACAGAAGCAGGCGATCACTATACATACAGAGAGATGACTAGAGGAGCGACTCGGCTTGGATCAGGACGGCGGCTTCGGCCGAGGCTTGGCTTCATCTTCCTCCTCCCCCTTCTGTAATCTCTATCTCTTCCTCCTGTATCTCGAGCTTGTAACCGAATTCACGGCAATTGATTGAATTAGTAGAGAGAACCTCACAATTGGCATCAGAGCCGTTCGATTCTGCTCCAAAAATCCACCCACAATTTTCCCAATCCATTCCATGGACTCACGGCGACGCGCGGAGCTCCTGGCGCCCCTCTCGCCGGAGGGTTTGGCGACGTATGAGGTTCTGAAGGCCCAGCTCGCTCGTGATCTGGACCGAAGCTTCGCCGCCTCCAAGGCGAGGCGAGAGAAGTTCGTGGAGACGGCGTTCGCCGACCTCCACACCAAGCTAGACCGGACTATCGACGACCTCCGCTGGAAGGTGCGTGGCGACGACGGCCGTAGGAGTGCCCCTGCAGCAGCGGCGTCGGCTTCATCGACGACGAGGTCGGCCGCGTTTCCGCCTGTCCCGCGCGGCAGCGGCGCAACTGTCGCGGACATCTCCACACCAGCTGCGGTCTCCGCTCCATCGGTGTACACGGCAACATCTACGTGCGCCCCCATCGTGGCGGCGCTGGACTCTACTTCGCCGCGAGTCCTGGCTGTGACCGCAACGACACATCCGCGCAGCACCTCGTCCACGGCCAGTTGGGTCGCGGCCTCCGTGGGCGCAGCGACGGCGTCGATCCCGCCCACCATGTGCTTGACCGAGTGCCCTGGAGAAGAAAACAGTGAAACAAGGACCACGCCCACTTCTACAGCAGCGCCACCGGCATCCTCGACCAGTGCTATTCCTGCTACGTGTGAGGTGAGCATAGAGGTCAATTCCATGGCTCTGATGGATATAGTCAGTTCGTCTCCAGTCCTCACAAAGGTTACAACCACCCACGCATTATCGCCTACCAAGTGTTCGACAGAAGGCCTGAACAGCGAGACCAGTGTGGCTTGTCTCAAGTATTTAGTCAGCTCACATCACCAGTTGCAGCAGGACGTGTGGCTCGCCGAGTTCAAAACTGAATTGAAGAAGAGCCGTGAGGAATTGTTGGCAGCCAGGAAGGAGATGAACTCAGTATCCTTTCTCACAATCAGGTTCCTGTTTCAGTGTGTTCCAGGTTATGGGCTATTAACATTATCATGGGATCCAGGACAGCACGCAGTTGATTCGGCTACAACTATTTGCGATCAAGGTATCCGTGCCATTTGTCACCAGCAACTTTCGGTCCATAATAGGCTACAGTTTGCATGGTCATTCGTTTGGAAATTCTCTGGTGTTGGATTAAAGAGGACTGCCGTCAGCTTCTTTTTCACTTCAGCTGGTGGGAATGCTCCGATTCAGTGGGAGATTGCATGGCTGATTGGTTCCTTACAAGACAATATTAGCTCTTGCTTCAAGACACGCCCTAGATCATGTGGTTTTGAGTTGCAGCAATGGAGGATTTCTTGGTCATTCATTGATGCATTATTACAGCATGAACTTCTATCTTGCACCGTTGGAGCTGTTTCATTCTCTGATCTGGAACAAGTTCAGTGGAAGATTGCTTGTTCACTCTGCTATGATTTTTCTGTCCTCGACAACATCTCAATGTGGTTCTTGTGTGAGTGTTCAGCAGAATAGGTGCAAATTTCTTCAAAACCACGTTGTGTTCTTTGACGATAGATCTCTGAAAATCATGGTTCAGTGCTCTTTTCTGGAGTTAGTAAGTTTCACCCTTTCACAAGCTCATGCCTCTGTTTTCTATCATGGCCGTTTTGTACGGTTGGGGTTTGAATTCAGTTGCCTGATGGTTTGGGAGATTTCTTGGGTGCGATGTTCCATGTATATGGTTGATGCATCCAGCTTTCCTTGTTCATTCTTCAGAAAGGAAAAATGGAGTGATATTGTGCGCTACAACAAGGCAGTAAGTCCAACTGCTGACTTGTGTTCAAACGATATGAGCTCTTGGAATTATCCAGTATCAAGTTCAAACACTGGCATTCTGACAAGTACAAGGGTGAAGGAATTACATAATGGATATCTAGTTGATCACCCAAGTAGTATGTTGCTTGCCAAGTCCATTGGCGAGTGCTCTGCTATTGAGATGGTCAGCTATCAATTCTTAAATGCTAGTGCTTCTCGTTGGATGGTATGCAAGATTGTTTGGGTGCTCTGTGCAGTGAGTACCGATGAGGCCTACAACTCCCAGTGTCAAGTATTTACAAAATTGACTCCTAAGTCTAAATTGGGTCAACCGAATGCATTGCTTCCAGCTATGATTCC